ATCCACACTTTTTGAAGGCCTGAATACAGAGACCTGATGCACCCCAAACGACCCTCCGCAGGTTTTAAATTCAGAGTGGTCGTTCTCCTAGACCAGTTGCCATCCAAGGCTATTTACCCATAGCTGGAGAGAGAAGAATAGGATTCACACCTTGCCTAAGGGTATTAGCACGTAAGTGAATGTAATGGATTTGACTGGAATTCGAACTCGGCTCTCCGATTCCTCAATCCAAGCCGTTATCCATTACGCCACCGTATCCACTCTCTCTCTCTCTGTCTGTCTGTCTGTCTGTGTGTGTGTGTGTGTGTGTATATATGTGTGTGTGTGAGGGGGGGAAGCATGTCACTTTACACATTTTCTTAAAAAGAATATATTTTATCGTAGAAAAGTATATATATATATATACTTTTCTACGATAAAATATAGAATTTATTCTTTTATATATATATATATATATATATATATATATATATATATATATATATATATATATATATATATATATATATATATATATATATATATATATATATATACGATAAAATATATTCATTTTTTTTTTTAAAAAGTGACATGCTCCCCCACACACACACACCAACAAATTTCTACAATGACAAATATGGAAGATTTTCCATCGCAACATTTTGTTAACCCAACATATCATATAAACACATTCGCTTTGATGTCAAACCCTTTGTGTCCAGGACCGTCCGATCAGGACAAAGAAGTTCCTAGACAATGACAGTTAAGATCTATGCCTCGTGATCTTTGAAAAACGCGAGGTTGTATTGCTCTTGACTCAGAGTATACCCACACGGTCCAAAAATATTTGTTTTTAGGCAGACATTTTGTAATATTTTTTTTTCAAGATGTGGACAAATGATCAGCATTGGATTATGATTTTCTAAGCGTGGCGTAGATGTGGCACCAGGCCGAATGTATGGAGCACTGAGTAAAGACCGATCTCACTACTTAGTTCTAATTGATTTACAGAGACAAGCTTTGCTAACTATTACACCGTGTCGAATTGTCACTTTTCGAAACGCAATTTACATGTGGCACAAGGCCGAATGTGTGGAGCACCCAGTGAGAATCGAACTCAACTCGTTGAATTGGCCAAAGCTTAAACACAAGATGTATAAAATTAATATTTAATATGGACCATTTAAAATAGACCCTTTTGTTCAGTCCGAGTAAAAAAATTCAAAAGGTGGAGAATTCCTAGGAAAACCCAAATGTTCTTGGACGGCATTTAAAAATAATCTTTGCTAATAAGACCAAAGCTTCCTGTTAATTTTAAATCCACACGTTCCAATTTCGATCTATGTTATTTCCAGAGTGGAAGACATTTCTACCAGGAGTGAGATTGGGTCAGTTAGAAACAGGATGCTGCGAAGAACATCATGTCCTTTTGTAGTATGTAAGTTTCTTAAATATCTAATCATGAGATGATCGTAAAGCAGTTATACTCAGAACCTATCGTATTGTATAGAACCTTAAATACTTAGGTCCTAAAGAGACTGAGTGTTTGATTTTAATATCTAATTATGGGATTATAGTAAAGCACTTATCTAATTATGGGATTATAGTAAAGCACTTATCTAATTATGGGATTATAGTAAAGCACTTATCTAATTATGGGATTATAGTAAAGCACTTATCTAATTATGGGATTATAGTAAAGCACTTATCTAATTATGGGATTATAGTAAAGCACTTATCTAATTATGGGATTATAGTAAAGCACTTATCTAATTATGGGATTATAGTAAAGCACTTATCTAATTATGGGATTATAGTAAAGCACTTATCCTCATAACCTACACTGCTGTATAGAAACTTAAATACTTAGGTCTTAAAGAGACAGAGGATTTCACTTTAATTATTGGATGATGTTAAAGCAGTTATCGTCAGCACCCATATTGCTGTATAGAACCTTAATTACTTAGGTCCTGAAGGGTCAGAGGATTTCATTTTAATATCCAATTATGGTATGATACCAGAGCACTTATCCGCATAACTCCTACTGCTGTATAGAAACTTAAATACTTAGGTCTTAAAGAGACAGAGGATTTCACTTTAATTATTGGATGATGTTAAAGCAGTTATCGTCAGCACCCATATTGCTGTATAGAACCTTAATTACTTAGGTCCTGAAGGGTCAGAGGATTTCATTTTAATATCCAATTATGGTATGATACCAGAGCACTTATCCGCATAACTCCTACTGCTGTATAGAAACTTAAATACTTAGGTCTTAAAGAGACAGAGGATTTCACTTTAATTATTGGATGATGTTAAAGCAGTTATCGTCAGCACCAATATTGCTTATATAGAATTACTTAGGTCCTGAAATTTCAGAGGATTTTTAATATCCAATTATGGTAATGATACCAGAGCACTTATCCGCATAACTCCTACTGCTGTATAGAAACTTAAAACTTAGGCAAAAAAAGAGACAGAGGATTTCTTTAAAGAGACAGAGGAGTTTTCAGCACCCATATTGCTGTATAGAACCTTAATTATTAGGATGATGTTAGATTTCATTTAATATCCAATTATGGTATGATACCAGAGCACTTATCCGCAAAATTGCTGTATAGAACCTTAAATACTTAGGTCTTAAAGAGACAGAGGATTTCACTTTAATTATTGGATGATGTTAAAGCAGTTATCGTCAGCACCCATATTGCTGTATAGAACCTTAATTACTTAGGTACTACAGAGACAAAGGATTTCATTTTACTATACTATTGAGGTACTATACTTGTTTTACTATACTATTGAGGTACTCTACTTGTTTTACGGTATACCAACGTCAATGGGTTATTTCATTGTTGGTAATATTTGTTTCCCAAAATCTATTTCTGGTAGTATTTTTCCTTCAAAAATCTATTTCTGGTAATAATTTTCCTTCGCTGATTATATTTATTGTCAGAAAATGTATTGCTGATAATATTTGTTTTGTAAAACATGTATTGCTGGTAATGTTTGTTTTTTAAAACATGTATTGCAGGTAATATTTGTTTTTTAAAACATGTATTGCTAGTAATATTTTTTTACAAAGTATTTCTGGTATTAAAACCTGTTAATACACATTTACAGTGATTTGACCCCAATTTGGGGGTTAACTGTTTGAACAAAGCTGTGATCCCAGGTGTGATCGAAACCCGACTGAATTGGCATCAATCGAGGATTCTACCCCTAAGCCGTTGGCGGACGGCAGGGATGAAGGTGAATTTAAGCGTATTTATTTTTAGATAAACACACAGTGACTGAGAGAACTCGATTCGATTTACCGAAGCATCTTCAATTATTAGCCGTAATAGTCACTGTTTACAAACCCACACTTCCTCCGGTTGCCTCTAGCTAGGATCGAAACCCAACTGAATTGGCATCAGTCGAGGATTCTACCACTAAATCCTAAAATAAGTCCAAAGGGCATTAACGTTTGCAAAACGATTATTGTTTCTTTTTATTCTTGTTATATTCCGTGCTAATAGGAATATGGAACAGACAAACACGGTGGATAAATAATAACAGGTTTATTGTAGAAACCAGTACAACAAGCAAGGAAGTAATAGTTATGCGCATGGTCGTCGCAAGTCAGTACAGTTTTGTGCGTGCTGCTTTTGGAAGGCTGCTAGTATCGCAGATCCCATCTCGACGGTATTTAGTAACTGCCCCACGCAGTCACATGTGGCACAAGGCCGAATTTAATCTGGGGTTCCCGAACCCGAAGGCTCGGCCAAAAAATCCCCGTAGACCCCGTATAAACAGGGTCGGGTGTGTCTACCTCCGCGGACGAAACTGTGCCCTTCGGCATAGCCTCGTCTGGGTTCCTCTCTGCCCGAAGGCAGAGAGTTCAACTAGCGCAGCTGGGAAAGATCCCAGCTCGATTGTCTCGTACGCTGCCCTAACGGATACTTGTAGGTGCTTACCACCTAAAGTGCCGCCACTCATGGGGGTGACAAGTTATTCTATCACATCAAATCTCTTGTTTTATTAGATGCTTATAGAACATATGAAGCCATTATAATCTTTCATTTTAACTAGCAACCAGTTCAGGCAGATTAACTTCCAGGATTTAATACTGTGTTGGATCACCATAGTAACGTAAATCCACATTCACAGTTTTCCAATTGGCCTTTATTCTTAAACTAATGATTAACTAACTTCATATCGATTTCCCAGATAATGACATAGCCGGCAGAATTTTGTTATTCCATAGCTCAATATTTGAGCTGAACATCTTTAATAAAATATCACAATAATAATCATGACTATGAATGCCGGTCACTTAAAGAAATAAGAGCGTAGTATTGAAAAGACATTAAATTCACAACTTTTTTTTATTTCACTGAAGCAGACGTTAAACATATTAGGGTATTATCACCTTCTCTATCTTTCTTTTCTTTCTTTCTTATTCTCACTAAAATGAAACAGAGCCGCTGATGTCTTTTCCGTTTTTCCTCGCAATCAAAACTGAATAGACCATTATTTACAAGATATCAACATCGCGTAACGTACGTGCTAAATAACTCAGGATCAAATGAACACACCGACTCATATACTCTTTTCTTTTCTTTTCTTCTGTAATAATTTTCAATACTTTTCCTAGTGTTGTATTGTATTGTGCTTTTGCATTTCAGCGTAAAGGTGAAATCAATTTCAATCTTTTGTTGATGAAGGGAAATAGAGTTTTTAAACCAAAATACCATAGAAATATTCGATCTTTGACTAACTTGAAAATAAATATGTAACGACAGATCATATATATATTTTTTCTTTTAGAATCCAATGTTGTCGTTAATGTTTGTAACTAAAATATTCGTTTATCTAGAACAATAAAGATCCCGTCATTTTACAGCTGAAATGGCTCGATGTAACCGTAAGTCCTATGTTGACAGTTTCTTCTATCGCACTTCTCGCTTGTGGAAATCTATTCCGGCTTCTTGCATCACAGTCAACTTTGACCTTAAAAAAATTATTGTCCTCACTCCTTAATAGTATATTTTTCTCGTAGAAAGATAAGAACAGTCATAGATAGATAGATAGATAGATAGATAGATATTTTCACCTCATCTCCACCCAGTTTTCTATAGGGAGAATTTTTGAATAACAAATTTAAATTGGCAGTCTATCACTCATTTTTCTCACAGAGAGATAAGAATAGGCCAAGATAGATAGATAGATAGATAGATATGGAACAGACTGAGATAGATAGATAGATAGATAGATAGATAGATAGATAGATAGATAGATAGATAGATATTTTCACCTCATCTCCACTCAGTTTTGTATAGAGAGAATTTTTGAATAAAAAATTTAAGTTGGAAGTCTACCACTCTAAACTATGAATATCCATGGAGGAGAAAGCAACATATATTTGTTTTTAACCAAAACGACAAACTCAGCCCTATATCCATCAGACCATCTGAGAGAAAAAAAAACGACTTTTCCAACCACTCCTACCAGAATAAATTATATTTCAAAATTATAGGCGGTCATTTACTGAATACTGACGATTAACATCCATCTGTAATTAAAAGGTTTCCAACGTTTGGTTTGGTTTGGTTTGTTTTGCTTTACGGGATATCAACCTCAACGGGTCATTTAATGCCGATAACTTTTTTTCTTTTCAGGTAATATTATTGTTTTCACAAAAATCTATTTCTGGTAATATTTTTACCTCAGAATTATATAGCTAGTAATATTATTTTGAAAAATGTATTGCTGGTAATATTTTTTCTTCAAAAATTTATTTCTGGTAATAATTTTTTACAATGTATTTCTGGTATTAAAATTTTGTTTTACACTTTCATAATGCTTTTTACCTCAGTTTCGAGGTTAACTATTTTCCCATATCTGGGACACTAACAGGTGCTACCACCACGGGTCAGGGTGGACCTGGGAACACCAGCAATTAATAGATGGTTCCACGCTCTTCAAAGCCTCCTGATCACCGGCCTTGCTGTTGGACGTAGTTTATCGTCTTGCCCAGGATGCGAATGTAGTTTATCGTCTTGCCCAGGACGCGAATGTAGTTTATCGTCTTGCCCAGGACGCGAATGTAGTTTATCGTCTTGCCCGGGACGCGAATGTAGTTTATCGTCTTGCCCGGGATGCGAATGTAGTTTATCGTCTTGCCCAGGACGCGAATGTAGTTTATCGTCTTGCCCAGGACGCGAATGTAGTTTATCGTCTTGCCCGGGACGCGAATGTAGTTTATCGTCTTGCCCGGGATGCGAATGTAGTTTATCGTCTTGCCCGGGACGGGGTTTCCAACGTTATTTTTCTTTAGTTGCTGCAATTCGTTCTATCCCTTGCAGCTCTCTGCAAGTTCCTTCCATTTGATTCCGACTCCAGACCACGTTCTGTCATCCATTTGCACAAGCCCGCTACGTATGTTATGCGTTGTTTTTCATTGTCGCTCTTTCCATCTATTCAACCCGTAATTATCAGATTCTCCAGGCCCTCTTTCCTCATTCTGTGTCTCCTCCTTGTTTGCATCCTCTCTAAGACTTCATCTTTGCTCACAAGCTCGGTTCATGATATCCTCCGTTGACTGGAGTCTCTTCTTCTTCATTGATGAAATCGACCAACATTCGCTGCCGTAAAGAAGGACAGATGTCAGGTAAAAGAAATGTAATTCTTTCTTCAAATAAAACGGAATTAATTGTTGATTTCTCACGATCAGTGATGACGTTTTTTGGGAACTTGCATCCGATTTGTTTGCACAGATCATCTTATCCATCTTTCTTTTCCGCATCTTATCCCTGTCTCTTTCCGCATCTTATCAATGTTTGTTTCCCGCATCGTATCCATAGCCGAAACGTTGATATGGCGACAAAGATGAGGGCTATAGTCCGAATAATGTAAATAGTGTACATAAAACCTCATCTCAGAAATATAGACAGATACGAAATTAGAAGGCGCTCTGGATTATGGAAATGTGCTTGCTCTGGAAATTGTTCTAGAAATTTTCTAGAAGTTTTTAAGAGATAGAATTATAACAATAGAAACGAAACAAAGGAAATTGAACTGTTATGTAATTCCTGTAATTTTATATGGCAATAAATGCCCGACATTTTTTACCAGACAAAATGACGGGAAAGAGATGTGATTTTACGGAGGAATGTTGAGAAAACCATGGACTGGGAATGTGGCAAAAGAGAATGTTGTAATTGTATTTGCTGTCATGGTAATCGTGAGTTCAATCCCTTGGTCGGGCATTACAGACTCGTTTGGAAAAAGGTATAGCAATAATTGAGCAATACCCGCAAAAGAACAAGACAAGATATCCCGGGGTATGAATAACAGAAAGAAAACGATCTATCCTATTAAATAAAGGGTTCAGTTCGAAATTCGGGACAGGTTAAGTAAATTGAAAAACGTCTGAAGGCCCAACGGTAGAAACGTCGTAATAGTCTCAACAGAGATTACTCCGATAATAAGTAATCGGTAAATTATAACTCCTAATCAAGAATCGACAAAGAAACTGTTGCAAGCAATCAGGAAGGGACCTCTAAATTTAATTTTTATCTCCATTGACGAAAGAAACCTTGAGAAATGTAATACTTACGAGGTACATTGCAGTCAAAAAATGCTCAGAAATTGAACTTGTAACTTACTTGACAGGTTTAAGCAAATGGTTGCAGCAACAAGTCCGACAAAGACGAAGAAGTAAATGTCCCTTCAATTTTATTTTGCAGAATACTGAAAAGATTTTGCAGAAAATACCAATTCGTTATCTGGCTTGCGGGATATAACCATATCAAGTTGATGCACCAGTTCCCATACGATCACCGAAGTTAAGCAACGCCCAGCCTGATCAGTACCTTGATGGGTGACCGCTTAGGAATACCAGGTACTGTAAGCTTGGATGTGCGGGTGGTGTAATGGATAATGGCTCGGAATTGTTCATCGGGTAGTCGAGATCTCGTACGACCATCGAAGTTTAGCAACATCCAGTCTGATCAGTACCTAGATGGGTGACCGCTTGGGAATACCAATTGTGTAAGCTTGGATGTGCGGATACTGCAATGGATAATGGCTCGGAATTGTTAATCGAAGAGTTCAGGTAGGCTCACCGAAGTTAAGCAATGTCGAGACTGATCAGTACCTAGATGGGTAACCTCTTGGGTGTGTAAGCTAGGATGTGCGGATGGTGTAATAGATAATGATTCGGAATTGTTAATCGGGCAGCCGAGTTCCAATTCCCGTTGGGTTTGCTGGATATCCCGTTGGTTATGCGCAAATACCGTTGACAAAGGCATGAATCCACCACTTCTCCCCAGCTATGGGTTAATTACTAAAACTCGTATCAGTGAACCATTATTATCTTTAAAAAAAATTAGAAGCTTGGAATATAAATGTCTAGAAACTTCAATGGCCACAAAGTGAGGGATCCGTTTATATATTGAATGTATTGTAGAACTGAGCCCCACTTTATATCCACGTCATAATTTCTTGTTTGTTTATCAAATTCTGATTATGTATGAATCCACCTTTTCTCCTTATCTATGGGTTAATTAGTAAGACTTGTATCACTAATCACTTATTATCTAAAAATAATTCTTGTAATCTAAAAATATTTTCTGGCTTTAAATAACCTGCAAAGGGTTTATAAGTCGTAGAAAACGAATGAAGAAAGAAAAGGAAATCGTTCTCTAGCATATAACATAACGTTTGACTATTTGAATGCATGCGTTCAAATCGGCAAATAGAGGCGGCGTCGACCAGTGGATTTGTAGCAATGAACCTCGCAGTGACACCTGTGAACTGTTTGCTTTGGTCTCAAGCGACCCGTTACGCACGATTCAGATCACTGTCTTTCACAAACAACTGTCTTCTTGTTCAATTGGACGGCCTATAATCCTATAAGAATATGGTTCATAATTAGTGTGAATCACCGGATCTATGCTTATCAACCTCTTCTTCATCTTCTATCTTTTATAAACTTTCAGGACGTTGACGACTATCGCTCACCACAATCCTTTTTAGCTCCGAGTAATTTTTTTACAACAGCTGAAACCCATGCATTCAAATAGTCAAACGTTATGTTATATGCCAAAGAACGAATTCCTTTTCTTTCTTCATTAAAATATATTGCTAGCAGTTAATATAAAAATGTAGTTTTATATTTTTCCTATGTTTTAATTTCTGTTTGTGGGTTTACTATTTCCCCATAGATGGAACCCTAACAGGTTTTTACCACCCCAGGTCAGGGTGGACCTGGGAACAACAGCAATTAAGAGGTGGTTCCATGCTCCTCAAAAACTCTCCCGATCAGAAGCCTGGCTGCCGGGTGTTGTTTATTGTCAGACGTCGTTATGCACTGTGAGTGCCAAAATTTTGTGCTTTTTGTTTTCATTGTCCTCAACACTGCCAAGTTGTTTACACTCTTCGCCTGTGCTATTCTCAACTCTTCTATTTATTTGTGAGAAAATTGTCCAACATACACTGCCACATATGGAAACCCATATTACGTAGAAGTTCAGCACTCTTTTCTTTGTTCCGAATAAAACTTTGCTGTTTCTTAATATTTTATTTAACGTTTAGAAATCTTTTCTTGTTCCATTGCACTTTCGTATTTCGGTATCACTGCATTAAAGAAAAGGAATTATATTTATTCTCAGAGTGGACACTAAATGTTGCACAATAATAAAAAAGCTGTTTTGTAGATGGCTTCTCTCGTGAAGTTATTTCCCTCTTAAATGTATATCTACCTTCTGTGGCTTTATGGTATAGCAATAACTAAATGTTTGTTGTTGAGAAGATGTCAACAGACTATATCTCGAAACAGGGCTGAAGAATTAAATCAAGTTTTTAGCGAATGCGCCTTACTTTCCAGTTTTGGGAGAATTCAAAAATGTCGTCGTAGCCTTGTGGGTGATGAATTCTTTTCTGTCCAATAGCACCTTTCCCACAAATGTAATGTCGCAAGCTTCTAACTACTCTATCGTTATTTCTTTTCACAAATGTTCAGAAGGCTTACATTCCTTACTTGAAAAGGCCCAGACTTTTAGACGTAAAACACGATATGCCACGTACACAGGGTCGAATCACCCTCATTGCCTTCGTATTAGATAAGAAGGAAATTCCATTCAGACAGCTTTTTTCTTTAAAACTGCTACCTTGTCGAACAAATTCCGAAGAATATAATATTAAACTTTTAAAATCTTAACGTTATCTACTTTCAACAACCTCATTTAGTAACCTTTTACTTTGAGTGGCTCTTGGGTCTTGCATTAAATGAAAACCAGTGAAAGCATTTAAAAAGACGAATTTAAGCGTAATAAACTATTAATGTTCATTTATTTAGGTTTCGCCTTTTATTGAGACGTGAAAAGTAGGAAATTTATTTACTGTCTTTTCAAATTAATGATCTTTTCTTTGTAAACGAGATAAAACATCATACAGAGATTAAAAAAAAATGCCATTGATATTTTCTAATTTAGCGCTTCAAACGATTTTTTTCCAGATTATAAAATTTAACTTGAAAGCTTATTATAGCCGAAAGTTTTATCGAAAAGTGCGGCTTCTGGATTGAGGAATTTGAGTCGCCTATCTGGCTTACTTTGTCCGTTATCGATTTGCGAAAATTATTTCGGTTTAAGGGAAAATTCTCTATTTCTTTTCCTGCTTAATTTGAAGAAACGTTTCGAAATAATTCTTTAGAAATGTAGAGGTTGTTTTCTTTCAAACAAATGATTTAGGCGCTAACACATAACGCGCAAACCCACATATATAAGATTATCATTATATATATATATATATATATATATATATATATATATATATATATATATATATACCTGAATAATTTCATTCATACCCACATATACGAGGGCTGATCAAAAAGTATCGGAACAGGTGCTATAAATAAGTTACTACAACACATATCAATTCAGTATTTAATCTCCTTAGAGGTACGGCCCTACTAGAGCCACACATTTTATCCAGCATTCCCAGAATTCTTTTTTCTGGGGGGAGGGATAGCGAGTATCACCCTCGTCGTATTCTCTTGGGTTTCCTTGGCGTCTTGAATGTTGTTCCTTTCAGTAGGCGTCCTGGGTAAGACGATAAACTACGTCCACAGCAAGTCCTCTGATCATGAGGTTTTGAGGTGCGTAGAACCACCTCTTGTTTGCTGGTGTTCTCAGGCCCACCCTGACCCGGGGTGGTAGCACCTGTTAGTTGTCTCAGCTATGGAAAATATTTAACCGGGGTCAAAACGTGTAAAAATAGGTTTTGATACCAGCAAAACATTTTTTGTAAAAAATTATTACCAGCAATACAATTTTGAAAAAAAAAATAATTACCTGCTATACATTTAAATATATATATATATATATATATATATATTACCAGCTATATATTTTTTAAATAGATATTACCAGCTATACATCTCTTTTTTGAAAAAGAATATTACGAGATATAAATATTTGGAGGAAAATTATTAACAGAAATAGATTTTTAAAAATAAAAAATTTACCAGAAACAGATCTTTTTGAAGGAAAAACTATTAACAGAAATAAATTCTTGAAAAAAAAATATTACCAACAATAAAAATTTTGTCGGCATTAAAAAACCCATAACAAAACAAACAAACCAAACCAGAAATACTTTGTAAAAAATTATTACCAGCAATAAATTTTTGATGAAAAAATATTACTAGTAAAACATTATTACCAGCAATTCATTTTTGAAAAAAAAATAATACCAGCATTAAAGATTTTGTCGGCATTAAATAAGCCATTGTGGTTGATATGCCGTAAAACAAAACAACCAACCAAACAAACAAACCCTTTCAGTGGGTTCTAATATTTTTAAGGAGGAAAATGTCACAAGGCGCGAGATCTGAGAAATCTAGTGGTTGTCGGACCCGAGGATTTTTGTGTTTGATTCCAAACTACTGCACAATCAATGGTCACGGATAGAACTTCTGTTGAGTGGTAAGACGGCCACACTCTACGCACTTTCCTTCCAAACACTGTTATAAACAACGGAAGTCAATGTGAACCAAGCTGTCCAGACACATTTTGGTCAGATGTCGTATGAAGTTGATAAGCTTCGTTTACTTTGGGAGTAGCCTTTCTTAGACGTAGTCACTTAATTTTTAAATTTCAAATAGATTTCAGAAATGTACAAACTCATTTGTTAACCTTGAAAATTTGTGGCCACAAAAAAGAATCATACTGTTCATAAAATAATCGTTTACCGTGTGTTTGAGTTATCTAACCTATAGACAATATATATACAGAGCGTCCCCACCCAAATCTGAAATCATTTAAAATGTGAATACCTGAGTAACTACATGACCCAGTCAAACGAAATTAAAATAGGCTTCATACTGATTAGTAAAAGGTTTACTCATCATCATTCGAACAGGATATTCAAAGGTACGCCGATTTTATAACCGATTTCACACAGCTTCACAAAAATATTCAATATGCGTCCATCCTGTGACACGACACACGTCAAGTCGGTAGTCCAGCCCCTGCTAAACACGCTGTAGCATGTCTTGCGTAACATCCCCCGGTCCTCAGTGATTCCCTGCTTAAGTTCCTCTAGGTTTGTAGGAAGAGGGAGAATATAGACCTGTTCTACAATCCCATAGAATGAAATCACAGGATTTCAAGAGCGGTGAACTTGATGGCTACTTCAACAGCACATTATCACTGGCACACCCGATCCATCTTCCTGGTAGATACGTTCACACAGTCAAATTAGTTTTTACACATTCTGTTAAAATTTGAGATCATTTGAGCGAGAATTGACTATGTTATTAAATTAAAAAACGGTATCAATTTTGGAAGACACCCTGTGTGTATGTGTGTGTGTGTGTGAGTGAAATGCATAAGAATTTTTGTTT